TTAAAGCTAATATTTAGATTGATAAATTACCACCGGCGAAGAGGAGAATTAATGGTAAAAACCTGTCGAGATAAAATCTGCCTTAGGGTAACTCAAAACCCTTCGAGTTGGAAATAACATTAGGCAATTTAACTTTCTGGACATAAACAATTAGGAAAAGTTTATAGTTAACGTAACTATATGCACTAAATTATTAGACTGTTTTGACAAGAACCAGCCTTCAAAATTAAGTTTTTAAAACAAAATTTCAAAAACAGTTGTTATAAATTTTAACGAGCCACGCGTTGTTTGATAAGCAAATGTATGGATTATACTAATTGAAAGAAAAAACAAGATTATTGAAAGGATAAGCTCGTATATCAGGGAAAACCCTGAATGTTCCGACTGCCCCATACTTAGTTTCGAATAGTTTTTGATAACAGAAAATCATGGAAAGCTATAAGTTTTGGACAAAATCGAAGATCAAATTTGAAATGCTTAGTCGCACAAAATTAATACGACCGACTAATAATTTGTTTAAAAAATTTTGCGCGAGATTTTTTGCCAAGCAAAAATAATATGTGTTACGCTTTCAGCATTATAAATGAAAATTTCAAGGTGCCGATAAACTAATCCAGAGCATGGCCAAATTAGCTGTTTTCAAACTCCAGAAGTTTGCAAAAAACAATCGAAGGTATAACATCTTCTTACATTTTGATTCAATCGATATCTTCAATGGGGTATAAATTTTCGATATCTTCAATGAGGTATAAATTTTTTTCTTATAAACTGTTACTTTAATCGCCGCAAACTGACTGGAAAAAAACGCACCAAAGGCAAAGAATCAGTTTTCTTTAAAAGTCGGAACAATTAGCGGGGTGACTTTATGAGCGCGCTCGTAATGAGGTTTTATGGATGATAATGAAATATTAACAATTTTTTTTAATTGTTGTGATTATAATCGATTATAATTGTTTCAACTTTCGGAGAAAGTTACAGAATTTTGTCCTTGGGTTCTTTTTTTTTCTACAGACAAAATTTAACGTTTCAACTAGCAAGTTTTCAACGTTTCAACTAGATGTTTCATTTTGACGTTTTAACTAGACAAAGATTTAACATTTTAAACAAAAATTACTGTGGTTCTGAGCGCAAACTATGTTGCCTCTGATCATTTTTGTTAAAATTATTGAGGTTCAAGGATTGCCAATTTGACCAATTTGGGTTGATTCGCGCAATATATAATTATTTTGTGCTAATAAATTGTAAAACGAGAACAAATAAGGTATATAAGCCGTTTCAATTGATTTGAAGCAGGATTATTTAGTTCATTTAAAATTCTGCTAAATACAAAAATCATCACCTTGAGGGAATGGTTTTCAAAAGATCAAAACGAAAATAAATAACGTCATAACTTTTTTCAGAAAAATTTTTTCTTCATCCTTTAAATGCAGTTGGGTCATTCAAGCCTATAACCTGATACGAACAGTCTTGTTTTTTCCCGCTTTTTAAAAGTGAGGAATATATATTCTCGGTTTTTTTATTTTCACACCAATTTCCGTAGGAATATTTCCTCTAGGGATCGATCCCTGACCTTCGTGGACCCTGCCGGTTTGATATTTTAGTACTGACGTTGTAACGCGATTTTTAAATGCTATAGAGGAATGAGCTATTCGTTGGGGCAAGTAATTGAGGTAATGAGCCATTTCGCCTTATTAATCCCAAAAAGGACTTAAATTTTACCAACTAATTTTGACTAAAATCATGTCTTATGATTACTTTATTTGCCAAAAACTATTCAAGACAAGTTAGTGGGCATTTTGAACATAGTAACCCAAAATTTTTTAGAGTTCAAATAAATTATAATTCATTTAAATTCTATGACAATGAATTTTTACGGATTATAGTAGGTAAGTATTTATTCATAAGTTTTCTGACTGGCTTTTTTGCTGCGCTACTCATTCTACTGAATTTCAAATAAAACCTTTACGAATAAACTTTTTTAAATGCCATACTGAAAGCCCCATAATCCTCCCCAGCCCCCCTCATTCATTAGCTTGTACCGTCTTCCAACACTATCCACCACATCTACCCAAAGTTTTCACATACCTACTCACCACCCCACCCAAACACAACACTTAATTTACACCCCCGTAAGGTAAAGGGTTTTTAAAGGTTTGCAGGGGGTGGTGGGGTTAAATAAGTGTAAGAGAGAGATAGATAGAGAGAGAGAGAGAGAGAGAGAGACAGAGAGGGGGGGGGGGTAAAAGTATGTACGCGGGGGAAGGTGATGAAAGAGCATTTTTGCGAGTGTGTGGAGGGAAGTATGGAGTCGTAATTGAAGGAAATAAGATTGTGGGACTAAATGTTATGTAAGTGGGGGGTAAAAAAAATGAATTAATAAAAATAATTTACCTGCCAAACGTATGAATCAGTTTAGCTTCTGCAACATTCAAAGCTGGAATCTACACGCCAAAAAACTTATAAAAATCTGGGCTTTTTTAATGTCAAATTCTGTTTTATTGCATCATAACCTAATATAATCACTTTTAATAAATTTTATTTCTTCATACTTCCTGATAGTCCAATATATCAACTCTAATTGATTAAATTAACTAAACTGAGTTCTACTTTGCTTGGTTTTTAAATAGTTTTTGATCCATTGTAATCGGTTATCTTAGAATTTTATGTAGACAGACTATGATCATCCATTATCATTGATATTATCCAAGGAACATCATTGCGTGCTATAACCAATAGCATTGCAATCTTTTTTATTCTAACCATGCCTTTGATGAGGATACACTACTCAGAATGCGGTTTATTAGTTGCTCCGATTTGGTCAACAACATCTGTAAGGTAACGATTACCACAAAAAAATTGCTGGCGCTGCGCTATTAGTTAATTTGGCGGCTAGTTTATCTAATATATCATTAATAAAAGGCACCTAATAATTTTTTTGTTAATCTGTTTGTTTATGATCAAGTTTAAAATAAACTTGAAAGATTTGTTTTTTTTTTTGCAATGAATTGATCTTCGTGGCATATTGTTTGACTTGTTTTTCCAGTTTTTAGTTGAGTCTTTCTACCAAAATTTTTAAAATTCATGTTTGACTGATCCTAGTAAATGTACAGGTACCCTTCTTCCCTTTAGTTGAGCGGGTTTTATCGGATCGTAGAAAGTTTTAAGTTTGTTTCATTATATTTTTTATCGATCCGATATCACACTACATCCGCAAAAGTTTATGTTTTGAGGGAAGTGTATATTTTGTATCAAACGAACCACTGGGTTTTGGTTTTGGTAATTTGTGGTGTGGGTTACTATTATAAGTTACTTCACTTCCAAATTATTAGTAACTAGAATGATAAATATCCTCAGAAGCTAATCCTCCGCATTTCATACAATTGTTCCTTCTAACGATGTTCAAGGCGCGATTCGCACTTGACAATAAAACGTCATTAGTACTCCTAAGTATGAAATTCATGGAATTTTTGGAAACATTGGTCTTTTTCGAATGATAAGTACTTCATTTTGGTCAATAGGAGCTGCGTTCAAAGCTTCAAACTGAGGCAAAAGTTCTTTGAAGAATTTTACTGAGGAGATTTATTAAAAATTCTTTGAGGAGATTTTTTTTTCATTTTGTTAAAAAATACGTCTCTTTTCCATTCGTCCTCTCTGCTGGATATGTAAATATTCTTTTCCGTTTCTGTAGGGGCAATCCAAAACTGTTCAGTAGTTTGTGTCTTTCGAAAGTTACGTTTTTTTCTGACAAAGGCAACTGTTAAAAACAGAGCGAGTGATGTAGTTTTGATTTCAAAACCTTGTTCGCTTCTTCCGGACGCATTTCGTTGAACTTTTTTATTTCTCTTTTCTGAGCTGCTGCTTCATCTTCAAGTCTTTTTAATGCTCACCTAGGTTTCTTTTTAGCCTCGCGTTTCTTTGGCCTTCAAACTTGTTACTTTTGGGGTATATATAATAGTTGGTTGAGTTGGAGTTCAGTTCATCGGTTTGAAAAGAAGATCCATATCTACATTCAAATTAGATTTGGATGCTATTTGAATTATATCACTCCAGTCTTCCCATGAATTGGAGGGTATGGTTCTGCCAAATTTTTGGGAAAGCTCTCACACTCAGTTCGATACTGCTAGACTGCGCCATGACCAAAAGCTTTTTGCTATAATTGAAAATTTTAAAAAGAATAAGAAGAATTGAAAAAAAATCATTTGAAAACTAGTTTTAGCAGGACTCTGACGCTAAGTGTACACCATTCTTTCCTTTTGAATGATCTCCTCCAGTTTTATATTAGTTTCAAATTTCAAGTAACTCGGAGTGGTGTACACTTAAGGTCAGAGAGAGTCCGGTTATAACTAATTTTCAAATGATTAGTACAAAATCAGATCACAAAGACTCAAATAAAAATTGGGCTTAAAAGGGTCAATACAACATTTGAAACGACCATTTCCCCATAAATCTGCTAATCCTAGTTTCCAGAAGGTCTTCAATGTTACTTTAATTGTGAAATAATCAAAGGCAAAAGCCGTCCGTATTCGTCCGAAAGTGAATCTAGGATCGTTTTGAGGGAGATTTTTAAGAAACGACGTTTTGTTCGACTTTTTGTTTGGCTTCATACTTTCTGAATTATACCATTTGAATTATATGGGTTTGACAGTTTAGGTTAGACAAAATCTTCGTATACTTACAGAACGTTTACGAACTTTTTATTTAGGCGATACATCTTTAGGCAAAATTAACTTAGGTTGACTTCTCACAAAAGCCCGATTGATTTGTACTCAACATTTTCAAAATTTTGTTTGAAAAAAAATTCAACAAAATAGATTCTAAGAAAGGAGCAAAATGCTGATCAATTACAAAAGTACTAATAAAAAAAATCCGATCTTTTTAAAGAACAAACAAGGCCAATTAAGAGCCTATCAAGTTGTCTCAAATCTTTAACAATCGAATAAATATTGTTAAAACATGAACCAATTTTCTCGAAAAAAAATGAAATAAATTTTGTGACTTACAGTACATTAATAGAACATGCAGCTGTGAGTATTTTGGGCCTCATCCACAACACAGTCCCGTCATTAGTCACTAGCACCCCCAAATTGTTCACACCTGATTCTGACTCCTCTATGCTAAAACAGTTTTTGTTCGGATCAAGTGAACAACCCACCCCCTCCCCCAACTAACCAAATGAACAATCGCCGCCGTAAGTCAACGGCACATTTAAGCTGCAAGTCAGTATAGAAATTGCTGAGGTCTCATTGGCTGAAAAATAACGCTTATAACTGAATGAACAATTTCGTTCCTAAATTGATTCAGGGAGGAGATTTGGTTCACTTGGTCGGAAAATACCCGGAATGCATCGCTTGATTTATGTTTCGATCATCAAAGTCAACTACACGCTAATTTGTGTTTCTGTGGCTGAAAATTTGCGGTCAAGTTCCATCGATTTTTTCCGCAGAAGGCAGAACATTTTTCATCCCGAGTTGACACAGGATCCGTACAAACCGAATTTTATGTTTTTTTTTTAAATGAGCCATTCACTTAACTGGATAACGCGCAAAAATGTTGCTCTTGCTAACAACAGAGTATAAAAAAACTCAAATTCATTCTCAAAAGAAATCGAAACTTTTAACACTAATCTTTTCTAAAAAAGATTGTTTTCGAAAATTTGCGACAGACTAGAAGTTCATCCTAAGCTTGAAGAAGCTACATAGAAACATAAATATGTATTGAATTGAACTTGAATTGAACTTCTTGTGGACAATGAGAAAAAATTGGATCATGTCATACGTCTAACTTTTTTCTAGTACCATTCCGAGAGCTCAAATAATAACTTGTCTAACGTTTTTTTTATGTTTGATTTTTCGATTTGTGCTTCCGATGTATAATTCTTATTTAGTGGAATTGTTTATTTTTTTTGGCTACCCGACTTTTGGTATTCAGCGGATATGCATCATTTCTACTCAAATCTACTCAAACAGAAGCGCAGCCGAAAAAGAAGTTAAAAACGTGCTAAAACGAGAATTTTTGTTCTATTTGAGTTGGGACGGAAGGTCTAACTCATAGAGTAATTTCGGATAGGGTACACCGTCTGCTCGTCACGCTATCTTATTTTCGGCCGGATAGATTCGTGCAACTTCTTAGTCTAATACCGATCTTAATCCTAATTTCAATCTCCTAGTCTCAATAGATCTAGTGTATACTAATTTATGCGAGTTAGTTTCCAAGGAGAACAACTGTATTCTAAATTTAATTCAAACTGCTCTGGTGTTGAAACTACAAGTAGTTTCAACACTTACAAATAAGTGGGTTGTTAGTTTGATGGAGTATGATTGGTCAGTATTAAATATTTTATAGTGATAAAATATTCAATAATAAAATATAGTTTAGATCTGGTTCCATATTATCAAATGAATTTTGTTCGAAATTGAAATTTTTTCTAATATCAAACGACATTTATCGTTTTCTTTTTTTTTCGATTCATGGAGCCATTATGAACAGGTATTGATAATTCCTATCAAAAAACGCATATTTTTGCGCAAAATTTAAACTAGCAAGAGTGCAAGAAATTTATGATTTTTATAATGAGAAGAACCTATGTGATAGGGAACTACTTTCAAAACTGGAAATACTTCAAAACTTTGTCATAAAGTTTTGAAGTGTACTCCCAACTTTCAATCAAAATTATCACCAAAAATAGAAGAGCAATTGAAACATTAACAGTTTCGCCTCAATGCAAAAAAAAACAGCATCGTTTTAGACTTGTCAGGACACTTTGTCCTACAGTAACACATGTATTATGCCATTTGCCCACATGACAAATAGCATCACGCCTACTTGTCCCAAAATGTGCACCAGATGAAGTGATGCAAAAGTCATTAATTATAACCAGAATATGTGTTTTATGACCGTGCCTTGGCAAACAAACGCCCCTTCCTCAGCGGGAGAAGAACTCATTATGGAACTTATCACGGAGCTACAATTCCGCGCAACTAGTGTATTTGAAGTAATATATTTCAAGCAGGTATATATGTAGCCACGCCAACAAAACTAAACCAGAAGACTGCTCGTATCAGGAAAAAGTCTTGATTGTTTTGACTGCTTTTAAGGTTCAGCTTTCTATAAAATTTTATAAAAGATAAAAATAAAAAAAAAACAGAGAAAAAAGAAAGTGATTTTTCTAGCTTACTTTAAAAAAATGTCACAGCGTTGAAGAGCCACAAAACTGTACTTTAAGCAAACATGACTGCTCGTATAAAAGCAAAGCCCGACTGGTCTAAAAATAAAAGTTGATAGAAATTCTTAATATTTTAATTTTAGACCGGTCGGATTATCCAGGGTTTCGCTATTAAACGAGCAGTCATGTTTTGAGGTACTGTTTTGAGACTCTTCAAGGCACGAATTGAAAATTTTTATTTCGTTTCAATTTTGAACTTTTTAGATAGATGTCTTTTCATATTTATTTGAAGACTAATTGTTTCAATGAAAACAAGTTACATCAAAACAAGTCTTCAACAAAACTTAGGCTATCAGAATTTTACAAAAACAGTAATTATTTAAAATTTGTATAGAGAGTGTCAGCTTGATACAAATAACCATGTCAACCAATAAAATGAAAAATTGACCAAAAATTGAAAGAAAAAACATTCACAACATCAACTCTGCCGGGGTTTGACTATGGATCTGGTCATTTTGAAAATATCAGCCAGCAAAATTCTTTTTTTACAATCTTTGCCAGAAAAAATATCAGTTAGGAACTGCTTTTAATTTTTACCTTATAGTCAAAAAATTTTCTTTTTTTTTGCAAGTTTTTGACAGGAAATAGATATCTCTTCAGTTATTTTTGAGTTTCCAAAATTTAGCCATTTCTTCTTTATTTCAATTGCAAATTGGTTCGGCCAAAAAAATCCCAGACGGCGTCAAATCAAGTGTCATTTATCAATTTACTTTGTAATTGGCGTCGGAAACCACGTCACAAAAATCATGACAGTATATCGCGCGGTTTTTGTTGCCAATTATGGGGCAAAAGGGCAAATGTAACTATCAGTTTGAAAAAGTCTGGGTTTTTAGTTTTCCTTTCATTATGGGAAATCACTGAAATGAAATGTCGATATCAGAATCATAGAAAAAGTTGATTAATCTTATCGCGCTGTGATAATTTTTTTTCACATGCTGAAAAAATACCGCGTGGTAAACTTATTTATGCGTGGTAATTTTTTCCGCAAAAAATTGAATTGAGGCAAGCTAATTGGTCTTTTCGATTTCACACTTAAGGCTTGATGTTATTTTTCGAAATTTACGAAATTTAAGATTTTCAACTTTTTTCAATCACCCAGAACTTTTCAATACCGAATTTGGGCCATTGGGAACATTCACAGTTTTACGCTGAGATACGAGCGGCCGGCTCTTTTCCAGCTTCCCACCACCTCGTAAAACTACAAACTAAAAGTATTCAAAAATTGTTTACATGACATTTTGCATGTAAGAAAACTTTGTTCACCTATTCACCCTTTCATGTTTTGATGCATTGCTTGCCCTAAAAAGTCATTTTAAATCGACTTTTTCATAGTGTTTTTCTGAAAAAATCACAGAAGGAGGAGGAAACTGGAAAAGAGCCGAGCGACATTGTTACTCTTTTTGAACCCTTTCATTTGTCTGGATAGCTCTGCTTCAGATTTCGTGAAACGACAACTTTCAGTTTAAGAACAAAATTTGAGTGCCCATTGTTATCAACAAATCACTTTATTTTTCGGATTGATCTATTTATTACACCGCATCCCCTCTCTCTCGAGGTGGGGGGTTTTCCTAAATCTCAATAGATCCCATAGAAACACTGGAAAACGATAAGTTTAAGCGTTTTACTTTACTCTTGATATTCTCAAATTGGTCTGAAAAAAAGGTCGGCTTGCATTAAATATTTCATTTGTTAGTTACGAAATATGATTGGCTAGTATAGAACACTTTGCTTACAAGACTTCTCGAATCAGGGCAAAACCCTGAATGTTCCGACTGTATTTTAGAGTCTATGGAGCAGTAATAACATGAAAAATTAAATGTAAGAAAATTAAAATGAAAAATTAAACGTAATGAAAATTTTTCTTTTTTAATTTAAAATTTTTGCAAAAATCATCACCCCACACGCCATTTAAAGTGCAAAGTGATATACTTTGCTCCTAGCTACAAACCAATTATGGCAAATAAGCTCCCTTGAACCAATTTGGAACAATTTCTAAGACGGGTTAAATCTCCACTTACGCATTAATAGCTCAATATAGATCGCAGGTTAATTGTTTCAAAATGACCACAATGGTAACCTTTTAGCCCCCATAATTTTAAGAAAAATGATCAAAGGTGAAATATCTTCTCAAATTCAAGCTCAGGACAACAAAAGCTTTCGAATGATATAAAAAAAATCCGTCAAAAGTGGCTAGTTAAAAAGTCGAAACTTTTCCGAAGAAAACATCTACCCCGAGCACAAATATTCCGTTACTTTCGTTGCGAAAAACGAAACAGAAACCAAAAAGGACAGATATACATGTAGCTCCCCATGGGACGCATTAAGTACCAAAAACATGTAGGCTCAACTTTTGTTTTTGCCGTTTAGTGGGAGTGTTGTCGTTAAGAGGTACCATAGGAAGACACTTAAAACAAAAATAAATCAATCAACAATTGTGTAAAAAACAAGGATAGTCGGTTACTGTGCAAGTAGCAAAAAATTTTCCGACCACAATTTTGAAAAAAAAACGAAAAAAAAAATCTTTTTCTTTAATTAGTATCGTTTTTTCTGCGCGGTGCAATAAACGGATCTGAACAAAAAACTACTACTTATGCATATTTGACAGTCATAGTAAAAAAGGCAAATTGAAAAACAATTTCTGTCGAAATACTAACAGAAAAACGGAAAAAATTGGTAAAAATTTATTTAGTTTTCAAAAACTTTTTTTTGAAGTTTTTCAAAATTGTTTCTGAAATTTTGATATGTAATAGGGCGCTAAAAACTGCAACAACTAATTTTCCTTGAATAAAACTAAGCTTCCAATGCTTAAATTAAGCATAGATAAGCTGAGCTAAGCCTGCTCACCCGCTCGAACTTACACGAAAAATCAAAAATTTTAAACCGGTTTTTCTCGACATATGAAAATTTTTTGGGGAGTTTTTAATGTGGTTCGACCTAAAAGGCTCATCACTCAACCCAGTCCGATGATTAAATGTTGAATCTGATTTTGCGTGGAAAACAAAAACAAAAAAAAAGTTCGCCCCATTTTCAATGGTCAGAACTACAACAATTTTACTAAATTGTTTACTATAAAAAAATCCTTCCAGAACTTTATTTCAGGTGATTATTCATCTTTAATTTTGGCGCGAGATACAGTTACTATTGATCAAGCAAAAGTATATTTTTAATCTCAGAAATACAACTCTAATTAATGATAACGATAATTGATCATTTAATCTGTGTACCGGTTGCTTTATAATGGGTTTTAGTGATTACTTTTGTCAGAAATCATCCATTTGTGTTAATTATTCAAAAGAATTAGTTCAGTTTGCTTATCTAATGCATTTGACTTGGAAAAACACGAGCCTTTTTTGTAATTTGGAGCGGATTACATTTACCAAGGCTCTAAAAAGAGTAACTTAACCTTCGTCTCAAAGGTCTAGTGCTAAAAACTTTATAAGGGTCGCAGTTTGCATTTTCAATGAATTATAGTGATAATAAGTTTGTCTTGCAAGTAATTATTATCAGTTTTTTTTTCTCATTAAAATTTAATGCCGGTTTCATTTTTACTAATGAGGATTATTTGTGAACTAATGTTTTTTTTTGAAAAGTAGATTTTTGATTATAGAAATAAAAAAAAAGATTAAGCTCCAATGTTTTACCTCTCTGATATTACCAGATCTGGAGTCCAGACATCTGAGTCGAGTAGCCTGATTGAAGTGATGTCAGCAAATTCTTCTGGGTTCCAACGCAGATTGGCATCATTCCAGTGCTGAAAATACCCAAAACAGATACCCAAACTTAATTCTTGTAACTATTGTAATTTTATTATCAGGGATTTCAAATATTGTGTGAATAATAAAACTCAGTACAATAAACTGAAAGCTCAGCCGAAAAAATATTTTTTTATCAATTTTTTTAAAAATACTTAAGTTAGATAGTTTACTTTTATTAGGGAGGAGGGGGACGGTTTGAAGACTTGACGAATGTGGGGTGATAAAAAAATGTTTGAAAAATTTTCGGTTCACAAAAGTTAATAAAACTAAAATAACAGTGTTACTGAGCTTATTGTCGTCAAATTGCATGAACTTACTGTTGTTTCCCAGATGAGCACCTTGATGTTTTGTAGTCGGAAGTTCTAAACAGAAAAAAAATCCAAAGTAACTTTTTTCGCTAACGATTTATAATTTCTATGTCGACGAGTATGACTCAACTGCATTTGATTTTTGGTATTAACTTTTAGTTTTTTTTTGTTAACTAGTCCTTTCTCATAGATTATTGTAACACCAATTACTAATAAAAGCCTGCTCGTTTTTCTTTCTGTCATCATCTTAGCAAATTTTGATACCAATTTTGGATTTTAACTTTTTATGAAACACATTCAAACTGTCTTTCAAGCTCAAGATTTCAAAATTATCACTTAAAATAGTCTTTTGTGTTCAATTAGGTGTAATCTTTTACGTCATCAAACGCCAAGCAGAGAAAAAATTGATAAAAAAGAAGAAAAAACGGATACAAAAGAACTTATTGATATGTCGGGGTTGTCAAAGTAATAAGGTTGCATTCGTCGTTTAAAGACGTACCCGCCTCAAGATATTTACTTCCAACAAAGGGCTAATATTGGAGTACTTCAACCCGTCTTCTAAGGCCGCTGGTTGTAGGACAAAAGATCCCATACCAGGGGCGGATCCAGGATTTTCTCTAGGAAGCGCAGATTTTCAAAAAAAAAAAACCAAGCTTTTTTTAAGGTCGACCAAAGTGGTTTTCTGAGCTCTCCCAAATCACTATAGAGACCCTATTCCAACCAACTTTTTTGTGTCGCAGACAAATTTTATAAAAATTAAGCCGAAAAAAGTGTTCTTTGGCGTTTTTAGAAAATGTTGACCAAAAAATTGCATTTTTTCGTCGCGCGCTCCCCCCTCAATTTTAGTATACTAGCGCCGTGGGCGTCTTTAGAAAAGGTTCAGGTTCTTTCACCCAAAAAGTGATATTGTCCATGAGGTCAAATCTTTGGGAGAGAAGGCGTCTGCCCCCCCCCCCCCCCCAACATCTTACCTCAATTTCACAGCCAAATTCAAGTCATTTTAGCCAATCACATTCAGTTTATTTAAGCTAAGTTTGTTTAATGAAAAATAAAACAGGGGCCGATAGTTATATTAACTTGTTGGTTAAGAAAAGGGATGCTTTTTCTCTAAAAGATAAGTTTTTGCTTCGTTTATTTTGTGCCATGAATCATAATATTTCATTATTTTGCCTTATTTTTAAACTAATTTCAGGTGCGTATAAGTTAAGAGGGACGTTAACACAAAAAACCTCATTTTGATCTAATAAAAGGTGGCACTTTTGGTCTCCTAGGAAATTTGATTTTGTCACATCTTTCCGGGCATCTTAATGTCAAACACAGAGGCGGTCAATCTTGAGTTGGACATAGTTCAACGATTTTGACATCTTAAATCCAACAAAAACATTTTTTTTAAGTTTCAATATAGAAAAAATGGAGGAATTTTTGTAATTTTTTTTGTAGTAAGTAAAAAGTTGTGATATCCGGGTAGCTTCAAAAAATATTTTTGAGAGAGACATCTTGTGATAATTAAGCAAACTTGATGCTGATTTCTACGAGTAATAATAGGTTTTTGACAGTGTTTTGTGTAAAATTATGAAAACGGCTTGTATCAGAGATCTTTTAAAAGCTTTCTGTTGTCATCTCACTGCCAATGATCAGAAGCATGTTATGTAATTGTTCCATCTTTTGAAGAAAGTGCAAAATATTTATGCTTGGTGTGGCTTTTTTCGGTCAATTTTGGTCTTCTTAACTAGCCAATTTTAATGGAAGTTTTTCATACTCTCTGAAAAATATTGCTTTAAGCTCAATTTCAAAAAAAAAATTCATCTGTGGTCATTTTTTGTAAATTTATGGGGTTGAAAGTTGCTAAGTTGGTCAATCTGGGACAATTAATGCGCGATATATTGCACTTTTATAACACGCGTACGCGGCTGATCAATTAAGTTCAGGCAAATAATTTGGTCGCATTATTTGCACACAAGACGCTAAATTTATGCCCTTATGTTTCAAATCAGCGTGATAATTCGGGATAAATTGAAAAAAACTCTAGTTTTTTTTTCGTTCTGTTGTCAATTTTCCAAACACAAAATTTTTTTGATAAACCTTAAAGTGCAGTCGGAACATTCAGTCTTGTTTCCGACTAGTAATGAACAAATTAAGCCAATTAGATTGTCCATATTTAGCTTGGGTTGGCTTTGAGCGAGGAAAACTTCAAGCACTCAATATTTTGTTCTGCATACGCGTTGTTCATAAAAAGAACAAGACTGCTCGTATCAGGGCGAAGCCCTGAATGTTCCAACTGCCTTTTGAGGTTTATGGAGCAGTAATAACAAAAAAAAATTAAATGTAAAAAAAAATGAAATTTTTTTTCTTCTAAAATTTGAAATTTTTTATGAAAAACACCCCCCCCCCCCCACACGCCATATAAAGTACAAAAGGATAGATTTCGCTCGTTGTAACAAATTAATTATGGCAAATAAGCTTCTTTCAAGCAATTTGGAACGATTTCTAAGACGGATTAAATATCCGCTTACGCATTAATAGCGCGAAATATATCGCGCGTTAATTGTCCCAAAATGGCCAAAATGGCAATCTTTAAACCCCCATAACTTTACAAAAAATGGTCAGAGGTGAAATATCTTTTCAAATTTAAGCTCAGGACAACAATAGCTTTCGAATGATAGACAAAAATGGCTAGTTAAAAAGTCGAAACTTGTCTGAAGAAAAAAAAACCACCACGAGCACAAATATTCCGTTTCTTTCGTACGAAAACTATTTTAAATTGCTCCATTGTAAGTTGATGATTTTTTTCCAGGCGCCATTTTGAAGAGCAGAGTTTTAATTAGGTAAGGGCAAAAGGTTTCAATGTTGGACTCAAAACAACGCTTTTTTCAAAGTTGTCTTAAACAGTACGACGCCAAACTCTGCTCATAGTTTTCGGGACTCTGCAACAAATGATTACATTTTATAAAAACTATGTGATTTTATAAACTATGTGAATTACATTTTATTATAACGATTGTTGAGATTGGAAGCGCACGAACTAAAGTCAGGCTGTGTTATTAAACCCAGCTTCATGTGGCATCAAACATTCATCGGAAACATCGACTGAAACTATTAAAATTTGGTATTTTAAATGCGTGTTTCTGACATTAGGTTGACGGAAAACAAAAATTTTGAAGACAAAACTTGCTTAGAACTATTAGAAGTACTACTGTGGTGTAGTTTATTTGTACAATTATGGCCAAAAATTTTACGCAAAAACGAACTTTTTAGGGCTGTTTATTCAATCAAAAACTCAGCTACAACTGCCAGTTCATTGGCTGATAAAACAGAAGTGTATAATTTTTGCAATTTTGTGTAAGTAAAAATATTTTCAGTTGAAAGCCATAAATGTATTTTTTTTTAATATAAATTACCAGTTTCTTGTTTAAAACAGTTTTAAGAATTTGTGCATACGGTTTGGTTGTTACATTCCTCTGACACTTTTTGGGCCATATAAGAGGCTCGTTTTGTTATAGCTTTGATAGCAATTAAAATGGCAGTTCAAGCGTATCTTTTTATTGTCTAAAAAATCAGAAAAGATATTTGCAAATTCGATTGCGCCATGTGGATTATGCTTAAGTTCTAATGAATTTTTGTCTCATTATTTTTTGCCTACTATGAATCCATTAAAAAAGTTTTTAATTTCTAGTTTTGATGTCCAGGTAATTTAAATCAGCACTGTATTGGGTCATTGAAATCAATACACGGTCTAAAATTGACACAAAAAATTAATATCTCGACAATATCTTTTTAAAATTTCATTATACTCATTTTGTCCATTAACTTCGGGGCTCGCTTGGGTTTAAGTTTTACCAAATTTTATGTTTAAGACTGTCCTTTTTTTATACTAATTTTTAAATTTGTCCTTTTAACTACTATGACAGGCGGTGAACTATGTATTCAAGTTGGTGTATTTAAAAGACAATCGGAGTTTCTATGATTTGTTGTCTCCTAACTAATCAACATTTTTCCTCCATGAAAGAGAACCAGTAAGAGGTGTTCCTAGATTAGGCAAAAACTGCCATTATAGTGTCCCCGACGCAGTGAAATTAGCGAATTGTAATTTATACCTGCGAGTGAATTCAAGGTATCAGACGGGGCGTTGGATTTTGTATATATAGTTTATACACGGTGTGTCACAGAAAATCATGTTCTTATTTATAAAATGTTTTATGCTGCTTATTGCCATTGCAAATATCATCGGAAAAATCCTAATGATTCTGGTGTTTGTGTCGTGATCTCGAAGTTCTATTCCTATAGTTTCTGCCCAGATTGTAAGAAATTTGCATAGGATCGCCATGATTTTCTTGCTGAAAATGTCAAAGATTTCTTATTAAGTCTTTCAGATTTTGAATAAAATAATTTATTTGCCTAACAAATGTTTGTAGTGTAATTTTCCTGGTCAGTTTAATAGTTTGCGGCTATTTTGACTTCCCCTACTTGTGCAAACTTTTGCTTAGGGTATATTTGATCACAATCTCTGGTTGTTTTGAAAACTGGCATGCCAATTAACTGAGTTATTCCAACCATTTTGGGTCCCTGTAAAATTTTTTTTTAGAAAAAAATAACAATTCAATGCATAGGAAGAAGAGAAGAGAGAAACCGGTGTGAAATTTGTTTCCAGGCCCGTAGTTTTCTTAACATTTATTTTTTTGGTGGCATCCATCAATCTGAAGTTAATTTAAAAAAATGCCGAAGGTGATATAAATTCTCAATCTTTCATTCTTTTTCTGTATCATTAAGTGGGTCTTATTTTAAGGGGCATCAAGTTGATTTACCATTTTCAGTTCAGCTACTTGCAAAAATTAGCAGGAAGTATTACAATAATTTTTCTCAACGATTTTAAACCAGTTGTCGCTGCTTATCTTATCTTATTTTTGTAACAGCTTTGGCAATATGCACCTTGATCAATGTCAAAGATTTTTTCAAAAACTCAAAACTCAACGTCATTGAATTTATTGAGTTTAAATTTTAAAAGTTTTGGTATCAATTTAATAATATAATTGTTACTTTTTGGTCATGATAAAATC